TGCAGCTGCTCCCCCACACAACAAAGAGGTGCCTCTGTCTGACAGAAGCTGGGTCCCACCCAGCCGGGACGCGAGGGGTCACTCTACCACCCAGGACAGGCTGCTCCCTGCCCCGCGCATCAGGCATGGCTCCCTGTGTCACCCTGACCCACCCGCTGCAGTGCACCCGGCCTGGTAGCTCCAGTGCAGCAATTGCAGGGTGATGCTGCTCCCCCACACAACAAAGAGGTGCCTCTGTCTGACAGAAGCTGGGTCCCACCCAGCCGGGACGCGAGGGGTCACTCTACCACCCAGGACAGGCTGCTCCCTGCCCCGCGCATCAGGCATGGCTCCCTGTGTCACCCTGACCCACCCGCTGCAGTGCACCCGGCCTGGTAGCTCCAGTGCAGCAATTGCAGGGTGATGTTCTCTGGCCTGGGGTGCCAGAAGCCAGTGCGAGCATCCCAGCGATTGTGTCTGGCCTTGTCATATAAGCAATAGGCAGGGGGTGGGATGGCAGGCAGCAGGGCTCTGTGGCCTGAGGCTGTGCTGTCTCTTCAGGGCTCTAATGCAGGGGACTTGCTTGAGAGGCTGGCCCCCCGGGCACCAGAGACCTGGCTGGTGGTTGCACTCTTGAGGGTGCTAGTCCATTTCCTGGGGTGTAGTTTCCCCTCATGGTGCAGGGACTGCAGCCTGACTGGAGCCTTTCTGCGTCTGTAGGGACCTTTCCTGTGGACCTCACCAAAACGCGCCTGCAGGTGCAAGGGCAGAGCATTGATGCCCGCTTCAGAGAGATCAAGTACCGGGGCATGTTCCATGCCTTGTTCCGCATCTATAAGGAGGAGGGGATTCTGGCGCTCTATTCCGGGTAAGGTTTGGTGCCTCCCTTTACCCGCAAAAGGCTCTCTGCTTGATACCTTGTGTGTGCAGTCTCCCTTCCCACTCTCACTACCCTGCTGCATCCTTCCAAGAGAGGGCTATAGTCTAACCTGTGGCCGTGTGCTCCTTCTCCCATAGTCAGCCATCTCTGCACCTCTCTTACTTAGTGGGGGCTAAAGAACCTGGGAATGCAGCCAGTCACTGCAAGTCTGGGCTGACCTCCTTCTGGCCTTTGGACTTTCCAGCAGCCAGTCTGTTTGGTCAGTGTCCCAAGATGTCTGGGTATAAAACAGGGGCGGGGAACCTTTTTTGTGTTGCGGGCCACTGACCCACAGAAAACCAAAAACCCTCACTGAATTGGCCCCCAGACCCCGAACTGAGAAGACACTCCCCACATTCCCCTTGCACACCACAGCCTAGGGAGACCCAGCCTAGTAAACTTTGTGTACTCCAGCCCAGTGGCGGGGGCTGGAGCACCAGTGTGGGCCCCCCAATGCTGGGGATTCCTCAGGCTTGCAGGCTGGATCCAGGCAAGTCGGTGGCTGGATGTGGTCTCTGGGTCTGAGGTTCCCCACCATTGGTCTAAAATATCCAAATAAAGACCTGGGAAGTCTCTGTGTGGAGGAGGCAGGCAGGGCAGCTCCTTGGCTCTTTCTCCAAAAGCCTGTTAAATGTCTTCGGGTCTGGCTCTTTGAGAGGTGCGTTCCCAGTTCACCACTGTGCCGTGATCATGGGAAGTCCTACTCCTCAGAGAGCGCTTTGCCTCTCACTGGAGTTAGGCATGGGTGTGGTACAAGCACCCCTTGGGAGCTGCTGTCCGTGTAACAGAGGGTCACTTTGTTGTTTGTTTGAACTGCACCCTGAGGAAGAAGGGCGGGAATAACTCTGCCTCCTTGTCGAGTGTCTCCTGGACAAGCCTCTTGGAAGCTGTTTTGTGTCAGGCACTAGAATGCAGACAGACGGGCCCAGGCTTCTCCTTTTCTTCTTCAGACCCAGCTGTGTCTGGGTGAGCGTGGCGCTCCATAACCTTTGAACTTTGCCATGAGCCATGTGCAGTGCAAGCAGGGTCTGTCTGAACCACCATGCTGGCCAACATACTCCTTGCCATGCAGCACCCTCTGTTCCCATGGATCCTGAGGGGCCTGTGATGCTGAGCTGTGCCTGGGAGGTGCACTGGGGCCTGTCCCCCCGGGGAGTGTGCTGCATGTAACTAGATCTTGCGTTTACTTGCCCTTGCAGGATTGCTCCTGCATTGCTGAGACAGGCATCTTATGGCACCATAAAGATCGGCATTTACCAGAGCCTGAAGCGCTTGTTTGTAGATCGCTTAGAAGGTCAGTGCCAGCGAAGCATCGTTCTGAGCTGCCTCTGGAGCGGTCACAGAGCATGATGTGAACTCGTGAGGCCAGCCCCCCAGCTTCTAAATCCCAAAGAAGCTAAACTGTGTTCCATTCCCTGCTGTCCCAACACTGGGGGTTTCTTTGTGTAACGCCAGCCGATAGAGGTCCTAATGTGCTTGGCCCCGTATTCCCCATCTAACCAGTAAAAAGGGTGGGGAAAGGAAAGATTCTCAAGTTTGGCTTTGATAACACCCCACCTTCCTCCAAGGATGTGATTCTTATTTATCATGCTGCTTTCCTAGCTGTCTCCAAGGCAGCAGCAGTGGAAGGCTTGGTTAACTAACCTCTCCCATCTCCCTGGCAGAGGCTTTGAACCCTTGTGCTGAGCAGCTTTTGCTCAGACCTTATTGTCCCCTTAGCTCTGTGACTTTGTCCCTTCCTGCAGAGTGTGTGTGAGAACAGCCCTGGAATGTGCTTTCCTGGCTGCTCTGAGGCAGGCCACGGACTCTCCACTTGCCCCACTTAGATACCGAAGCAGTAAAATTCCAGTGCCATTTCTCTCCGAGCTCTAAGCATTTGCCAGACTCTGGTGGATTTGATTTGCAGTCCCCCCAGAAGAGGTGAGTTAGTATTGCCCCAGAGTTACAGATGAAGGAGGACTTGCCCACAGCAGGCCTGGGATAGAACGCAGTCACGCTGACTCCCAGGCGCTGCCCTAGCTCATGAGTGGCGGTCCGTCCTTGCATCTAACTCCCTGGAAGGTGAATTGGGTCACAAGCAGAGCCCTGCCCACGTGAGAGACCCACCCTCCAGCCGCGGCCCATGTCAGCTGCGGATATGTGTTTGGTAGCCGCACAGGGCTCTTCTCACAAGTTGCCTGTGTCCCTTTGCTGCTGCAGCACTTCCAGCTTGGTACTGAGTCCTAAATGTTTGTTTCCCTGCAGGGCTGGGGCTGCCAGTGGCCTGGTCTCCTCTGGAGAGTGCTGCGGTCAGTACCACTGCCCTTTCCCAGCATAACCACTGCTCTAACTCTGGGCCTGGAGGCTTTTCCTTCTGAACTAATTGCCCCTAACCCGCTCTGTCTGGGCTACCCGGTCTCTGGGCTGTGCGCTTAGGAGGCAGCCGCTAAGGATTTCAGCTCAACTGCGCCCGTGAAATCAACCCACAATACCGCCTTCGGGGAGGCTGAAGTGACAGATAATTGTGTCTAGAAATGAGGCGCTTGGCAGTCTGCTTTTCTCCTGATCTGCCAGGCTCTGACATCAGAGCCTGCCTTCTCCCCGGTGGAATATCGCTGAAGCCCGCCTGTCCCAGCTACTGCCTTCAGGCTCTGGCAGCTAGGGGGCAGGCTTGCCAACAGCTTACAGTTCACTAGTTGGTGTCTGCACCCCGAAGCTTCGCTCTCTGAAATGGGAGCTGGACTTTTCCTTCCTTCCTTCCCCAGCGTTTCAGTTTCTCTGGTAGGTCCCTGCATCACCGTGTCTTTGGGCTCTGACCTTCTCCCCCCTCCCCGTCTGCTTTCAGATGAGACGCTGCTAATCAACATGATCTGTGGGGTGGTCTCAGGGGTGATCTCGTCCACGCTGGCCAACCCAACAGATGTGCTGAAGGTAAGAGTAGCCTGTGTTATGGGACTCCCAAGAGGGATGATGTGGCTGATGCCTTCCCTTGAAGCAGCATGTCTTCCAGCTGGAGCAACTGCCCTCCAGCCCCTGGGTAGAAAGCAAGTGCTGCCTTGGTGGATTTAGCTAGGGGTGGGAGAGCGAATGTGAGGGATCAGCCCAGTGCTGGGAGGAGCTGGAAAATGCAGCCCTTGAACCCTGTGGTGAAAGATGCTCTGGCGCCCCAGGCTGATGGAGGACGTGCTCACAACACGGGTGAACTGGGCAAAGGGCTAAGAGTGTTGGCCAGTCGCCAGGCATGCCACAAGCCTTTTCCTGTGGCCACCACACGCAGCTCCGGAAACGCGCCGCCCTCTGACCCGTAATCCCTGTTACTCCAGTCCTGCGGGGTGATGGCAGAGCCCAGCCCACCTGGCTCCTTCCCCTGATGCTAGGCCAAGGGAGTCCGGAGGCCTCATCCGGCAGAGTGTCTCTTGGAATTCACACAGGGTTCAGCTCTGTTTGAGAGAGACTCTGCTTCCCTGGCTGGGTTCCTTGCCTGACCTCTGAGCACTAGGTGTCCTGTGCGATTCTGCTTTTTCCAGTCCCCCGGCGAGCCGCCACTCAGAGGTCACAGGCCTGGCTCCTGAATAATTCTCCCAGGCCGGCTGGATGTTGCTCTGCTGTCCTCGGCTGTTGCTCCCTCCTGCGTGGTAGCTGCGTCTCTTACCCCAACTCTGCCCGACAGCCTCTGTCTGGTAACACCTCTCCCCTCCTTTCAGATTCGAATGCAGGCTCAAGGCAGCTTATTCCAGGGGGGCATGATTGGCAGCTTCATCGATATCTACCAACAGGAAGGCACCCGGGGGCTCTGGAGGGTAAGCGCCCACTTGTGAGAGTCCCTTCCACTCCGGCAGCGCAAGGGCAAGCTGCTTCCTCGCATGCATTTGCTGACTGAAGCCAGGTGCTGAGTTCAGCCTCTTCCCAGGATGCTGCTGTCCCGTGGAGCGAGTGAAGTGCTGTAGAGGGAACAGGCTGAGGCCAGGTGCCGCCTTGCTGTTTTCTGCTGCCCTTGTGGCAAAGGGCACCCTGTCCAAACTGGATGGGAATGGACAGGTCCCCTCATGCAGCCTCCCAGAGGGTACAGCTGTAGAAGTGCTAACCTGCGGCTAGCCGCCAGCTTCTCCTTGCAGGACTCTGCTCCTCCCCTCTTGGCCAGCGACTCAGCCTGTGTTTGAGTGGGTTTGGGTCACCCCCATGTGAGGTTAGGCTGAGCACAGCTGTCCGATGCAGGAGGAGTTTTCATTGTCAGCGGGTGTTTCCTCTGAATCTCCTCACCAAAACACTGGAGGGTAAAAACATGAATTGCCTTGCACCAGCCTCCGCTCTGCCTCGTGTCTGGCCTGAAACCCCCCATCCCTTGTTGCCTGGAATCTGCCCCGTGCCTAGGAGTGAGAGCAGGAGGGCAGCTTCCTGGTGGGAGGGTGGATTGTGGAGACAGGGTCTTGAGCTCAAAGGCACTGAGATGCTTTAGAGCCGGTGTGATACTGTTGGTGCCTCTAGGAGTTAGCTGCACTGCCAGGGGTTGTGGTAAGGTACCTTGGCCTGCCTGTAGCATAGCCAGGGCTCGACAATCTATGTAATCTACTCACCCATGGCGAGTAGATTATATCCCAGAAGAGCCGGGTTCGGGCCGTCTGCGCATGCGCAGAACGCCGGACAGTGCAGCTGGCGAGCCCTGAGCATAGCGACCTTGCCATGGAAATCCTTCCGTGAACTTGAACCAGCAACCCCCACTGGAGAGAGGCCCAGTGCTGGGATTCCCGAGTTAGAGGGCTTTCCCAAAGGGAGCGTTCCCCTGATCTCTTCCTTGCATTCAGTAAAATCCCGCAGAGGGAAGATACTCGTCCCGAGGTCTCTTACTCCAGAGCCTTGTAAGGAGTCGCTCCACTGCTGGTTTTGGCTCAGCGGTTCCTGCTAAGATTGTTCCTGCTCTCTAGACAAACGCACACGAGCGGGGAGGAGAGGATAGAACAGGAAGGAAACGTCTGTCTCGCGGGCGCGTGCTGCAGGCAGGAGACAGTGCCCAGCCAGGTCAGTCACAAGTGGGTGCTGCTAGCCCTGGCTCCGCCTCTCTCCTGTTCCGAGAGCTGGCATTCCCTGGCTGCCTCCTGCCACCTCCGCTTTGTGCTGAGCCCAGCTGGCTGCTGTGGTCTTGGCAGCGTGGGGGTGAGTTAATGCTGGAGCTGGCCAAGGCTGGAAATCATTACAGAGAAGCGGATGAGGTAGGGAAGAGGCTAGACATGAAGCAGGGAGGGGCAATGGGCATCTTCAATGGACCTCCCAGAGGCCAGTGCGGGCGGCTGTGCTCTGACGGCCACGTGTTCATCTTGGCCCGGTTGCCAGAGCCGTTTCCATTGGGTGACATGGTGACTTCCCCTGCCTTGATGGCCATACGCCTCTCTACAGCGCCGATGCGAGGCAGCCTTCACCGGGCCAGCTGCTTGGCCCGTCCTTGGCCCTGGTGTTTCTCTGAGCCAGGAGCTCCTCCTCCCTTGCTGTGCAAACGTGTGGTGTGCATGGCGGCCTCCAGGGCTGCTTCCCAGTCAGCTCAGGTGGCTCTGTCCGGCTGGTGCACGTTTCCTTCCGCTCTTTTATAACCTGCTCTCAAGCCACAGCGACCTTCTGCAGAGCTAGTGAGACACGTCGGCTCGGTGCCAGGGAGACCGGGGGTCTTGCACCTCCTGGCCTTGCTGGCAGGAAGGGGTTGGCCCAGCGGGGCCCCTGCCTGGCTGCATCTTGCTCCTGGTTAAGCTCGGCTAGCATCTAGTTTTGCAGGTGCTGCCTAGTGAGAGGTGTGTGGCTGTGAGGGAAGCCAGGTCACAGAGCAAGGGGCAGAGTGGTGAGACGGTTCATGGCGCTGGCAAAGTGAGCCCAGGGCAGAGGGAGAATAGCTCTCAATCCGGGCTGGGGAGTCGTGCCCAAAGGGAGGAGGGCTCGGGGACGTCCCTTATCTAAGGCAGGCGCAGCGGGGGAACGGGGAGCAGCTGGGTGGCACAGCCAGGGGGCTGATGGCTGCAGGAGGGGCCCTGCCTGCAGTAGTGACTGGAATGCTTGTGTTCGGTAGGGGGTGGTCCCCACGGCGCAGCGAGCTGCCATTGTGGTTGGGGTAGAGCTGCCAGTCTACGACATCACCAAGAAGCACCTGATCCTCTCTGGATTGATGGGGGACACGATCCTCGCCCACTTTGTGTGAGTATCTGCAATGCCCTCTGCACCCGGCACAGGCTGGCTCCCCGGGGCTCAGCGGCATGGGGGTGTGCTGGGGGGAGGCATTGCCAGGCGGCGCTGCTGGAGACAGGCAGGATGTGACTGCGTGTGCGGTGCAGCCCGGGCACCCGCTTCCTGCTTGTAGGGAATGTAGGCTAGATGCTCCCAGGTGGGCAGCAGCAGCCACGGCTGGGGGCTGGAGTGAGCAGGTTAGGCTCTGGGGGGCTGCTGGGAAGAGTGGGGAAGGGGCGAGGAGTGGGGATTGTGTAGAGCATGTGAAATGAGCTGCCAGATTTCTAGCTACTTGTCCCCCACCCTGGTTCTGCTTCTGGGCTGCTGCTGCAGAGTGGTTCAGTGGGAGCGTTGTGTGGGGTCCTGTGGGGCACAGGCCAAGCGTGCACCATGTGGCTGGAGGGAGGAAGCCAGCAGGGTGCAGTGAGAGCAAGGACAAGGAAGGAAAGATTGTGTAGAGCATGTGAAATGAGCTGCCAGATTTCTAGCTACTTGTCCCCCACCCTGGTTCTGCTTCTGGGCTGCTGCTGCAGAGTGGTTCAGTGGGAGCGTTGTGTGGGGTCCTGTGGGGCACAGGCCAAGCGTGCACCATGTGGCTGGAGGGAGGAAGCCAGCAGGGTGCAGTGAGAGCAAGGACAAGGAAGGAAAATGGCAGGCTGCCTGCCTTAGCCCTGCTCCCCCCCTTGCCATTCTCCGGGAAAGTCTCCTGCTCTTTCAGCGCTTGCTCTGGGGGAGGGAAAGTGTCCCTAGCACCAGCCCTGCACCTGCAGGCTTCCAAAACCCACCAGTGCCACAGCGCTTGGCAGGTCTGCAGGGGTCCTGGTGAGAGACGCCAGCTTGTCCCCGGCCCAGGGCTAGGCTAGGGCTGTAAAATCCCATTTTAAAAGGTAACCGGGTAAATGTGAGGTTAACTGGGATCCCGTAGGCAGGAGGGGCGGTGCTGCTTGGGCTGAGCCCGCCTCCCACCCGCATCAGACTGCTCCAGGCCACCAGTTCACTGGTTACCTGGTGAGCCTCACCCAGTAAGGTGACCACAGTGGCTGGGGCTTGGATGCAGGAGCTGGTTGCAGTGATAAATGCTCTGTCAGCCTCGGTGGCTTGCGCAGCTTGCCTGCGCTCGGGTGTTTCCCATGGCAACAGACTGCGGGAGAGTGGTTGAGCAAAGCAAGTTAGCTGCGCAGTGGCTGGTGCTCTCAGGCCCAGTGTCTGTCTGAGGCCTGTCGCCAGCCTGGGCCCGGAGCAGCCCCTGATGCTCTCGTGCATTTAGTTCCAGTTTTACGTGCGGGCTGGCTGGAGCCCTGGCCTCCAACCCAGTGGACGTGGTGCGGACGCGGATGATGAACCAGAGGGCCATAGTGGGGAGCGTGGAGCTCTACAAAGGCACGCTGGATGGCCTGTTAAAGGTAGGAAGCCTGTCTCCTTGGGAGGTGGACCCGCAGCTGGGGAGGTGGACCCGCAGCTGGCGGGGGCGGGTTGAGCCAGAACACGTTTCGATGTCCCACCCCGGCAGTGAAAGGCAGCAACTGCGGAGCAGTTTTCCTGGGTGTGTCGCCGCACAGGGAGCATGGACTCGGGGCATGGCCTGCTCTGTGCCATGGGGCTCTGGCTGTCTCTCCTCCAGCTTCCTGAGCAAGGGCGGCCCCGGCTGCCATCCTGGATTAAGGCAAGAAGGGACCATTGTGTCCTAGTCTGATCCCTAAGGACACAGGCCAGAGAACTGCCTCTAGCTGCTTCCTAGAGCAGCACTTGGTGAATATCTTACCTGGGAGCAGCTCGGTCTGGGAGGGTGCCACAACACTGGGGAGGGAAGACCACGTGTGTGTCCGTCTGATGGTCCGTCTGTCTCTCCTCCAGACGTGGAAGAGCGAGGGCTTCTTTGCCCTCTACAAAGGGTTCTGGCCCAACTGGCTCCGGCTTGGCCCTTGGAACATCATTGTATCCTTTTCGGAGTGACGGGGAGGAAGCGCAGGTGCTGCTGGCTGGAGCGAGCAGGACACAGAACGGCACAAAGCCAACGGGTCTCACTCTGGTGGGGCTCTATTACCCTCCGTTTCCCCGGCAGTGGCCCCCTCAGGGCGACTCCTGCCATCCATAGACAGCGGCTGGAGCTGGCTATGAGGCAGCTGCATGGCTGAGAAACTGGGGGGTGCACATTGTGGCTTCTAATGCAGCCGGCTGAGTGGCTAGCCCTGAGCCCCCTCGTGTCACTAGCTGCGTGTTCTGCTTTGGCTTCGTGATCCTAAGGAGCCCATCACGGCAGTCAGCGCCCTGAGCTGGGCTGAGGGTCCCCAGATCTTCCCTGAGACGTTCAGGGCTGGCAGCCTCTGGCCAGGGCCTGCTTTTGGGATGAAGGCTGGGAAAGCCCTGGGTTGCCTGGGCCAGGTGCCTGGAACAGGCTCTGTGCTTGCTGTTTCCTGCCCCACAAGCTCTGCACGGCCTGGTACTGGTCCTTTGGTCACTCTCTGAAGTGTCCCCTCCCAGTTTGGAAAGAAAATGCCCTGCAGGCAGAGGCAGCCAGCTGAGCCCTGGGGGTAGGGACTCCTCCCTGTGCTGTGCTAGCTGGGTTAGCGCCTTCCCTCTACTGGCCGGGGCTTTGCCTGCCTTCCCCGCAGGTTCCTCCACTGCCCCCCACCAAGGAAGGCTTCTGGAGGTATGTTCCTTTTGGAATTGTCCCTGCTTGGAGGTGGCAGTCTCTGCAGCATGGGTCCTGCCCCCAAGGGCTGGGTGTGCCCGTAGCGTTCTGCAGTGGGACCTGGTGTGCGAGGTGGGCCCCCTAACACAAACAGATTAACCCTAGCAATGCCAGGGCTGGGCTCCTGATGACCCCAGGCCTTCACTGGCCTCTACTGAGGCTCTGGGCTCTGAGCCCCAGCAAGCCCAGGTTCCAGGGAGATGCCAGTGGGATGTCCCTCACAGCTGTGGGCCGTGGCTCTGTGGAGAGGGGACCGATGTCTGCCGGTGAGCTCTGTGGAGTGACGGACACTGGGGCTCCAGGAGGTTTCCCTGCTGGCTCTGAGGGTGGGGCTGCTCTGGTTTCCCGGCTGCGTGTGGGCTGGGGGGCAGGGCCTGGTGGGCGTGTGTCTGCATGAGCATGTTGGCCCAGTTCCTTGACCTGCCCACCAGTTTTTTATCACCTATGAGCAGCTGAAGCGACTCCCGTTCTAGGGCTGCCTCCGTCCGCGAGCACAGCCTGCAAGATGTGCAGTTTAAAGAGCATCCTGTCACCTTTCACTCATTTCACCTCCTGAGTCGGGATGTCTTGCCACGTGTGGATTGGGACCACAGGCCCTTGAGCGGGTGGGCCCTGGTGATCTAGGGGTACCATTGACTGCTAGCGTCTGGGCCTGAGGCGATGTCTTCTGTGAAGACCGATGTGGTGCAGTGGCCACGCTCTACAGCTCCGGTGCGTTCTGGTTGGCTGGTGCGCCTTGCTGCACCCTGCTAGAGTGGGGCAGCCGTGCTCTGCAGGCCTGTAACCTCATTAAATAATTTATTGACAGGACTGCCTGGGCTTGTCTGTTGCTTTGGTGCTGATTCCCAGAGCAGGTGGCCCGACCCTCACTCTGCTCTCAGACCAGCTCTGCCCTGGTTCCCTGGCCACCCCCGCTCCCACTGGGCCCAGTTCTGTCCCCAGCCCTCACTCCTCTGCAGAACCAGCTGTGCCATGGGGGTGGAGAGAAGGGTGGACAGATTTCATTTCTGGAAAGGGGGGAGGGTGGGGCAACTGGAAAGTTTGGGCCCCACTGGTCTAGATTGTGCTGCATCTAACAGTCATTCTGAAATCCTGGCAAGAACACTTGAGCAGAACTGGAGTGTAACAGAGGATCTCCTGGCTGAAAACATGCAGGCTGCAAGGACCATGCCACGCCATTGGTCAGCATGGGGCGGGGCAGACCAGCAGTGTGAACAGGACGTGGGGGTTTCCCTCCCTGTGGTTCATCACCCCTGGATAAATCTAGGATAGTCCTATGTATTCTCGTACCCAATTTGATCCTTGCTTCCTGGTGCTGGTAGCTGGCACGTGGTTCATTGCTGACAACGGCTCTTCCTCCTCGAGCAGATCTGGGCCTGTGTGTATTGGTGGCTTTGCTCACGGTGGCCACTCTTCAGTCCAGCTCCCCGAGAGAAGGGCCATGGGAGTAGCTCTCCACGGTGGGGAGGTTGGTAGAAAAATCCAGTATAGGTCTGCAGTGCCGCCCAAATCTCCTGTTGCCTTTGGTGGGGGCTAGTGAGTGACTTACCGTAAATTATGGTAATTGAGAGGCGGGTTCCCACTCCCCAGTCTCTGTGGTACCTCAGTTTAACTGCACAAGGCAGCAGAAGGAAACAGTTGTGGGGGGAGGGGGAGATGGGCTGTCTGGAAAGCTTGTGGAGAGATGATCCTAATTTGGATCACTGCTCCTATCCTGCATCCTCACGAGGCAGAGTGGAGACCAGGAGCAATACACATTACCCAGATTTCCTATTACACTGATGACCACAAATTCTCAGCTCTGAACACTTTGATCTCACATCTCTTTAAGGCATCTTTTCAGAGTGTGGTTGCCTTGGTCGGAAATGGACAAGTTTAGAATATTAAAAGCCACTGCCTAATTCATTTGCGTTTCTTTTAGACCAATGAGCTAGGCTGTATAAAGGCGTTAGTCTAAAACCGTGGCTAATGAGCTCTTGCTAGAGAGTGCAGACTGAGCAAAGTAACCTGCAATTATTGATATTGAAGAGAAGGGGAAATAATCTTTGAAACGAAATCTCATCACTTCTCCTACCCTTGGGATGGGGAGAACCCTTTTCACACAGCTGGTCTGGGCCTCAGCTGCCCTTTGGATTCTTTAGCTGCTTGTTGGTTTAGTCACTTCAGTTTATAGCCCCTAGTTTCAGGGCTCAGAGGAAGGGGCCGCCCCTTACTCCTGCTGCACACATACCAAGCGAATGCCTGGGGCTTAGCTTTCAATGGCTTTGCTGCCATTTGCTGGTGTCCAGTAGGCGGCGCAGTCGTATAACCTTGACACTTGGTCCCTTTCCTAGTTGGATTCCTTACTAGTCCCTAATACCAGAGGAGCCCCCTTTAAGCAATTTCTCTTACTGTTCCTAATGATAACCTGGTTTGTATGTTTCAAACAGTTGGTCCTTGTGCCAGACAATTCCGATGACTTCTAGAGGGCAATGATCTGCAACGGAAACCAAGCCCGTACACATTTCTAGAGTTGGAGGACGTACTCCATGTATTCTTCCATTGTACTTAACCATTTCACGTTATTTAGGACTTGCAGTAGAATGAGATGCATTATTCATGTATAGATCTGACTCTCGGGGCAAAAACATAAGTCCAATAAAAGATAAGGCTTCATCAACCCTGATTCTCCATGGTAAAAAAGTGACACTTCCAGCGTGCCCGGAGAAGCTAAGCTGCAGAGGGTCAGCAGCAGCCCTGCACTGCCAGGCTCAGGCTTTGGCTTTTTAACTTGGACCCAGGTGAGTCCAATCCTGGTCCTGGTGACCTCATTAACATAAACTCATTCTCTACAGGTAACAGGCACTGTCTGGCAGTTCTGCAGAGCAGAGAAGCTGTGGCTCAGGAAGAGCCCTGATTGGTGGTCTTCCTTATTGGTCCTGCCCCTGTAAGTCGTAGGTGCTGGATCCCGCCCACCGAGGCCCCAGCTCCCAGCCCGGGGGTGGGTGTCTTCCTGGGAGCCACTGACTGAGGTGCTGCATCCCAGGCACCAATGGTCCTACCACAGCAGGGAGTAACACTGCCCCCCTACTCCAGTGAGTATCCCCTCTTCAAGTTCTCCCTCCTGCACCTCAGCTGTACCCCTCCAGCTCCACTCCCTGCTGCTGGGAGTGGTTTTTTTTTTGGGAACCTGGATTAGGGTAACCCGCAGTTTGTTTTGCATACTGTAGAATGGGGCGGGGAACCTTTTTCGGGTTGGGGCCTCTGACCCACAGAAAAAGCAGTTGGGCCACACACAAGCGAGAAGCAAAAACACCTCCTCCTTGAAGTGGACCCCAACTGAGGAGAAAGATGCTTCCCACATTTCCCTTGCCCACCAGAGTCTAGCAGGGCCCAGCCTAGTAGATTTTGGATGCTCCGGTCCTATAATGAGGCAGCATAGGGACTGGAACACCAATTCAGTCTCCCCAATGCTGGGGGTGCTGAGCCTTGGAGGGCTGGATGCAGGTAAGCCAGGAGCTGCATCCGGCCCCCAAACCTGAAGTTCCCACCCCTGATTCCTTGTTTAGCTTCAGGAATGCTTCATCTCTCTCTGCATCTCCCCACTGCTCTGAGTCCAATTTCTGACTTTCTCCCTACAGGTTGTTCAGCTTGACCCTGAAGAAGCTCATCATGTTGAAGGAGATGGACAAGGATCTAAATTCAGTGGTGATAGCTGTGAAGCTGCAGGTCAGTGTGCTGAGTCAACAGCCTGAAGTTGGTGTGCGTTGCACGTGAGCGCAGGATGGAGGGCTCCAAGCTAGTCACCACTGCTGCCTGCCTGGGTTCTCACTTCTCACGCTGATTTTTCCCTCTCCCCCCCGCCCCCCCCGCCTGGTGCCTGTTTCCTTACCTGAAAATGAGGTGACTTCATTCTCATGGAATGAGGTGTAACAGTTATGACTGTAACAGTTATGTAACAGTTAAGGACTTAGTTCGAGTTAACGTTTGACTGCCACGTGTAGCCGCGGGCAGTTAGTTCGGACTAAGGGGATTAAAAATGGCGCCCGGATGGGAGGATGCAAATAAAGCCTGAGATATTTAAATCCCGGGCTTCATTTGCAACTTCAAATGCCTACATTAGCCACCCTAGTTCAAACCAGGGGCTAGTGTAGACATAGCCAAAGAGACGAATGCCAGAGTTAGGGACTGACTAGTCAACCAGATGCCAGGGGCAGCCAGGTAATCAATGAGGCGGCAGCAGAGACCAAGACCCCAACAGGCTCTCAACCCTGCTCCAGCATACAATAAATATGCCAGGGAGCAGGGCTTGGGGCTTTAGCTGGGGGGGGGCTTGAGACTGCAGCTGCAAGGTGGTGGTGGGGGGTTAGGGCTCTGAGTTGGGGGGGAGGGCTCAGGGCTTTGGGCAGTGGGACTCAGGGCTTTAGACCTGGGAGAGCATAGGGGCTCAGGCTTTCAGCTCTGCCCCTCCGTTCAGCCCTGCAGGGGCTTTGGGGTTTTAGCCATAGGGGAAGTGCCGAGGCTCCCTGCAGTTTTGTTTGCAGTTTTAGCCTCAGCACTCCTTGGTAGCTGAGCCTGGTGGCCCCCCCAGCTGGGGGTTTGCTGCCCTCTCCTGGCCTGCGTGCCCATGAAATCCCAGTCTTGGCTGGAGAGATCAAGTGGAGGACTTTTGGACAAATGTCTGCTGGGGAGAGAGACAAACTTTCACCCTGCACTGAGCTCTGCTGATGGACTGGGGAAGGTACCGAGCGTGTCCCAGCAAAGCACCGGGTGGAACAGAGTCTGGCATAAGTAGCCAGCACGTATTCGCAGGGACCATTCCAGAGCAGGCCGCATGCAGGTAACGAGACTTGATCCAGTTATTGCATGGCATGGCTCTCAGAGGGGAGGGTGTGGCTGGGCGCAGGATGCATCCCTCTGGCTCGCAGATCCCATCTGGCAGAGCAAGGGTTCCTCCCTGCCCCCGGGCCCGTTGGGGGGCACAGCTCCATCACACAGCTCTCCCCTTCCCGTGATCCGTCCCTTGATCAGTCGACAGCATGTTCTCCCTCCCATGCCAGCCGGGGATCTGGCCCAGTGACCTGAGGCACCTGTACAGACGCAAAAACACGCGGTTACACAGTCTAACCCGCACTTCCACTTCTGCTGCAGAGAGCAGGCCACAGTCGCTTCTCCCGCTCCTGGCGAGAGAGCCCTGCAATCTGATTTCCCCAAGCTGTTGTCTCCCACCCAACATCAGACAAAGGTGGTTCTTGGGGTCTTCCCCCTTTTTGAAATGGGGCAGATATGGGGAGCTTGACTCGTAACAGGATTGTTGACCTGCCAGGGCAGCTCCATCTTATTGTTCTGGGTGTAGCTACATGTGTCCCCCCATGTGATGGTGTGTTGGGGTCTCCCTGACTTCTGCACCCCCGTAGTGGCACGAACAGACTCCACCAGCCAGTAGAATTGAGGGAGTTTATTGCTTCTCCAGGGTATAGCACAGCACAGATGTAATCTGGTCCCAGTAACCAGGGCTAAGAGGCTCATCCCCCCCAAGATGGGGAGACTGGGCCCCTACAATTCTAGCCCCCTCCCTAGTCTGTTCTCCTCATGCTTTCCGACCGCAACTAACTCTCCCCTCTGTATTGTCTTCCCTCCTCCCTCCACCAGCCAGACCAGTCGGGCAACTTTGCCTACATGACTCTCTGGCTATCCTGCTGGGCTGTGTTGCTGCCAGCAGGTGTCACCCACAGCCCACCGTTCAGCATAGCAACCAGCAAGGCCCCCCCACTACACCCTTCCCCACAACCTGTTGTCTAGGCATGTGTAGTAGTTATGTCCCCTACGCACACAAACTTGTTTAAACTGTGCACGAGCAGCCTTCTGACACCCGCTCCCTTTTCCCAGATTTCACACCAGCTCTTGTGGGTGGAGTCAGTTCCCTCCATTCCTTTCACCCCACGTACCCCTGAGCACAGTTCACTCAATTTCCCATGACTCCTAACCGTCTCCAAAGAGCAGGAGTCTCCTCAATTAACAGAGTGGAAATATTCCAGCAAGGGTCAAATCCATTTTTAGCCACCCGCCCCCGCCCCTTGCCTACGCAATGTGCTGTGTGCAGCCTTTCGTTCAGTCTCTCATTATCCAGCACTGATTTCCTGGCAACTGAAATGTCAGCCCTTGAGTGCAGTTGTGAGGTAGACGACTGTCGGCTGCCCTTCTGTACGAGGGCTAAGTGGGTCCGAAGGGGCAGGTCGGTTTAACGGCTGTCCCCGCAGACGCAGGCTGTATGCATAATTCAAGGTGATTGCCAATCATTAGGGAAGATGTGCTGCGGAAATGAACGACCTAACCTAGTTTATGCACTAAGCAGAATGAATGTGGGGCAGGAGTCCCATGGTACGGAGGGTGTAACAATGGTAACTTTCACAATCAACCCCTTGTTTTCTGAATCCTGGCCCCGGGTACAAGGCAATGCCCACACGGCAGACCTCTGTCTTGCACATGTCCATAGTCTTCCACTTTTCCCTGCCAGTGCCACCTATTGACGCATTGCCATGCTGGCGGACTACAGCAGAGGTCACCAACCAGTCGATCGGGATCTACCAGTAGATCTTGGAGCCTCTGACAGGTGATCCTGACTGGTTTGGCTGGAAGGCTATCAAGTGCATGCACTTCAGCTGTCCCTCCCCCCACTGCCCTGCTGCTCCTGCCCAGAGCCTCAGAGCTGCCCCCTCAGTGTGGGGGAGACAGGCAAGGGGGCACTGATGTCACTCTGTCCCCCTCCCCTGTACCCCATCTTCACAGAGTATAGAGGGTGGGGCCTCAGCGAAGGGGTTAGGCAAGGGTACTTGGGTTTGAGGTAGATCCTGGACTGACTTAAATTGAAAAAGTGATCTTGTGCTTAAAAAGGTTGCAGACCACTGGACTACCGGGTTTGTTCTCAGGGGAGTGCTACGCCCTGTTCCGGCTCCTCCCTGACAAAGGCCCGTTTTGGGCTGGCCCAGGCCAGACTCAGAGGACAGGGGTGCGCTGCCCAGGGTCGGGAGGCAGCACTTAGCTTGGGGAACCCGGATTTCAAAAGAGCCAGAATAGGGGGACCAGCCGGCTGGTGGGAGCAGAGATTTGCTGTGGGGCACAGAGATCGAGCCAGAGAAATGGTACCGGTGGAGGAATGCTAAGGGGGAGGGGGGAGGGCTTGGTTGAAGACCATGTCTGCAGGGCTGCTGAGAACGGAGAGAGGACGGCCGTTTTCACAGGATGCTGGGCATAAACCCAAGAGCCGACGGGCTTCCTTTACCCTAAGTCAAGCGGTTGAACGAGGGTAAATGCCTGGAGGGCATGGCCAGATGGACGTGGAGCTGATTGCCAGAGAGAGATCCTGGCAAACTCAGCTGTGGACCGTGGCTGTTTGCATAAGCGGCCATTGATTTTGGTGCCCAACCTGAGACCCACCGGATCACTGGGCGCATCTGAAACTGTGGTTGCAACTTTGCACACGTTTATTTTAGGGCTGAGCTTGGCCTTGCCGCTGTCTGCAAAGTGGAGTCTAAAGGCCTGGCCCAGACTGCCGGGAGAGTCCCTCCCAGCTCTGTGCCCTCTGAGCCTGTGACGCTGCCAGGGCAGAAGAGGAGAAAAGCCCGCGTCTCTTTCCTTACCGTGTCACCCCTGGAGCTGTGGGCTAGATATGGCCTGAATTGGTGCTGGACCCCTGCTGGGAATCCGCTGGCCACTCTCCCTGTGGAAGAAAGGGAAACATTTCCTCTTCATGCAGAGGCTCAGCTGGTAGATCTGCAGCCGCACCTCCTTCTGCCAGTAGGCGTAGATGAGCGGGTTGAGCAGAGAATTGCAGAGCCCCAGGAGCCAGAGGTACCTCTCGATGACTTCGTAGAGGAAGCATTCCTGGCACACGACCTGCACAATGCTAGTGATGAAGAAAGGAGCCCAGGACAGCACAAAGCAGCCGATGAGAATAGCCACGGTCCTCACGGCTTTCATGTCCCTGGGATTATGAGGCAAGGGACTGTTCCCGGCCAGGCCAGCCTGTGCCACTTCTCGGATGTGCTGGACATGCAGAGAGGCTATTTTCAGGATGTCACAATACAGGTAAATGAAAATGGACAATGCTGGGAAGAAACCGATGCAGAAGATGGTGAGCATGTACGTGGGCTGGAAGACCCCAAAGAAAGCGCACTTCCCTTCGTAGCTCTTCTGCTGAAAGCCCTGCACTAACAGCGGGAGAAAGCCAATGAAGCAGGCAGCCAGCCAGAGACCCACGAGGCAGGCGCTCACCACCAGCCCGCTCATGATTCTGAAGTACTGGAAAGGCTGCTTAATGGCCAAGTATCGGTCAAACGCCACCAGGATCATGGTGAGGATAGAGGCAGCCGAAGGGGAGATGACGAACGCCATCCTCAGGATACAGAACATCTTTGGTGGGGGGGGGTCATGGGGTGAAAGCTCGTTCGTGACCAGCCCGGTAATAGTGATGCCAACCAAGAAATCGGCAACCGCAAGGTTCAAGACAAAATACAGCCCCTGGCAGCCATTCTTCTGGATCAGCTGTAACAAAGCCACAGCAACAAGTGTGTTTGTCGCAATAATGAGAGGGGCCAAAACTGCAAGAAGCACCCCAAACCCAAAGCCATCCATAGCTCATATCTCACCGGGGCATAGCAGGGCCGGCCTTACTGACCCAACTCCATGGCAGTCCCTGGGCTGGGTCGCTACCAGGATGGACCACAGATCAGCTGGGAACCAGGGGGGAAAACATGTCCTGCAGAAACACCTGGCAGTCACTGTCCAGTGGTCCCGGACTCGGCTTCAGGAGCTGGGCTGGAAAGCTCAGTGCATGTGGATGCTCTTGTTCCCTCTCGGGTGAGGGAGCCCGGGAGGCTGAGCCGTGTCTGTGTATCCACAGCTGTCCGCGGACAGGCACTGCAAGGTGCATGCTGCTAGCAGCAGCCTGCGACAGGTCTGGTCCCTCCCCTCCAGTAACCCAGTTACCAGACAACCCCGGAGAGAGGAGGGAGGGGAAATGCTCTGGCTACCGGCCAGGCTGCTCTGACAGCCCGCGGGGTGGCTCAGCATCCCATGTTCATGCACAGCATCACCCCTGGGGTTGGGGCCTGCAGTAGGAGGCGCAGAGTCCATGCTGGGTCTGACAAGGGCAGTCATAGCGAATGGTCCCACCAGGATCTCCAGAGAGGCAACGCTGGGGCCGTTCCCACCAGAACAATCGACCAACCCTTTGTAGTTACTGTCCCGCATCCCAGTTCATCACTCAGCCCATGGGCCTCTCCTGGCCCCACACTTCCAGGTTACCTCCACAGGTTACCTTCCCCACGCCTTTAAGGCCAGCCCATTCCCATTCCCATTCCCATTCCCTTTCCCACCCCCAGCCAGGGCTGCTGGATGACCAAACGATTGGTATTGCAATTCATTGGTTTTGCAGCACCTAGGTGTGGGCTGGGCACTTTCCACTCCCTTACAGAGCCACAACCCCTGGCCAGCAGCATGTGGGGTAAGGAACCAGGTGCAGGAGGACAAGGGCTGCAATGTGAGGGCAGCAGAGTTAGGCACACGAAGATCTTTGTGAGCCAAGAACTGGATTCGGTGCCTAACTCCTTGGAACCAGGCAGCCACAAATCCAACCCTCCTCCCCGTGGACAATTCCCCCCTCACATCCCTTCCAGCTGCAGTCGCTCCTCTGCTTCCCTGGCCTCACTCCCTCCTCGCTGCTATTTGCTCCTGCATTGCCCAGTGACAAAAACCCCTGCCCCGCCACCCCTTTCACTGCACACTGGCAAACACACAACCGCCTCCTGATGCACAACCCTGACCTCTCCCTTGCTGACATTACTCACATCTAACGCGCTAGCCCGGGCCAGCCCCGGTCCCTGTGTGATGCTGTGAAGAAAGGCGAGTCAAGTTGGTTTTGAGCAGGGTCTAGGGTCCCAGGAGAGGTAGAGCTGATCTGGTCTGTGGCAGGGCACATTTACCTCACACTGGCCCTGCAGGGGTGAACCATAACTTGTGTCTGCCAAGAGGCCACGCCCCCTCGCCCTTGCTGGGCATGCTCCAACTGGAGGCAGGCTATAAAAGAGGGTAGCCCCGCTGAGTCTTTGCTGACCAAGGAGGAGATGAGAGGTGTGTTGTAGATGCCTGCCTAGAAGCTGTTGGAGCCCCAGGCTGCAGAGACCTCGGTGAATACCTAGCTGTCTGTTGAGGCCCATGGGGGGAAGGACTCACTGCTGAATTTCCTCAAGGAGCTGGACTGTAGGCTGGGGGGAAAAGGCAGGAAGCAGCCATGGGGAACCTGACACGGGTCTAGTTGTGGTACTGGGAATGGAGTCAGTGTGATTCAGTGAGATCCCTACAGTGGTGGGACCATTTGAATGAGCCCTAGGCTGGGCCCTGGTGGAATAGGGAGGACCTGAGTCCCCATACCCCAGCTGCCACCCCCATCACTGAGGTGACCTCCTCTCTTTGGTCCACAAGGCCTGAGCTGATGTGTCCCAGACAGGAGGCTGTGGGACCCTAGATGGGAGGACTGATTGCCTTTTCCTAGTTACTCTGGGTCCCAGGCCATGCTGCCCTGCTCTGAAGGGCCTAGGGCTCCCATCTGGCTGGTTTCTGACTGGGTTTTTTATGGATTTCCCAGTTGCCAGAAAAATAATATAAGCAGCTGGGGTTTTTCATGTAGGCTAAAGAGTCACTTTGCTCTCACAAGATGCCAGGAACTCTAATGTTAAAAGTGTGTGTCCAGCTACAGATGCTGCAGCGTTCTCACTTCTGCAGCTTCAGTGATAACGGAGGCGAAAATACAGTGCCTGTCTGCCCCCCCACCCTGCACTTGCCCCATGGGTGTGAGAGGGTTTGCTTCACACCTGAGTGAGGACACGTGCATGGTTACCCTAAGTGGGTGGTGAAGGATGGGGTGGAGGAGGGCTTGCTTCATGGTTGGGATTGTGGCAGGTTTGCCTTGTAGGTGTCTGTGTGCCAGGTTTTCGTTTTTTAAATTTCAAAGGTGATAACCCCGCTGGGCTGCCCTGTTGACTTGGGCCTCTAGGCCATGCTGCCTTGCACAGGAGGGTAGACTATCTGACCCTGTCCCAACACCAGTGACATGACCCCAGGATAGAGCATTGATCTCTATCTACCACGGCACCAGACAAGGCGGGGCAGGTGGAGGCAGGGAGAAGCCCCTGGTGCAGGAGCATCTGCATTAGCTAGGGATGGTAAATTTTGATTAACTGATGGAATAGTGGATTGGCTTTCCATTGATTATTTGATTGGTTAATAAGAACTTTCACCATCTGCCTTTGAAATGTACAAGAGCCCCAGTGGGGACTCTTGTACGTTTCAAAGTTGGCCACCACTGCATCCCTGCCCCCTCCCATAGAGCTGGAGGGAACCGGCTTTTAAGCCAGCTCCCTCTGGTATCTCCTCCACTTACCCCCTTGTTGCATCCTTGTGATAGAGGCAGCAAGGGGGGGGGAGGAGGAAGTGACTAGTTGACTAGTCGCTTACATCACTAGCACTGTGGGGCTGGCAACATGAGATCTCACCGCTTAATGAAGGCCATTAACACAGTGAGCACTAAGCAAACCAAGGCTCCTAGATACCAGGAACATCTAATGGCAGAGCACAAACAGCCTAGGGCTGCAATCTGTCGCTGTTTGGCATTGGCTGCAGAGTGCTTTCCATCAGGTTGATGAGTAACCAGGAGAGAGAGCTGACTTGAGTGAGACAGGAGGAAAGGTGTCTTTGCAGCACTTGGGAGCTTCAGCCATGCTCCCCGGGATGGGGAAGCCAGGATCCATGCTCAGGCTTAGCCCCGTGTCTGGCTTAGCCAGGGTGCTAGCTCTCTACCTTGGTGTCTGCCAGAGTGTGACCAATGACCAACATGTGGGTTCACTGTCAGTGTGAGCATTGCCCACTGTTGTATACATGATCGTGTTTAACAATGTTACCTGTTCTAAGGGAAGTTTCTTGCTCTGTGAAGTAAACAAGATTTTAAAGAGAAAAAAATTCCCTTGTGTGTGACCATGAGAACCTCTGGTTGGCTCACAACAGTGTGTGAATCCTGGTCTGTTAGTCCCTTGCACCAACCTTGGCCATGTGAGCTAGAGGAATGCCTGCAGCAGGCTGCTCTGTGTGACGTAGTGTGGGTACCTTGCGGGTTGCTATGCTGGGCGGTGGGCAGTGGATGACCTCCACTGGCTGCTGTCTGTAGCACAGTCCAGCAAGGTAGGGGATGAATCATTATGCAAGGGGCTCCGAACCTGTCCGAACAGTTACCTCTCAGGAAGCGGAACAAAGGAAGAAGGGCGAGGTCAGCCCAGGCTGGGGGGCAGGGCTGGAAGGGAAGTTTAGTTTTTTCTGTCTGGGATCATGGAGGAGGCAGCGTAGGGAAGGGGCTGGAATTTAGGGGCCCAGTCTCTCCCATCTCTAGGGGGGCTGAGGCATCCTAGGCCTGCCCTGTAATCAGATGACATCTGTGCTGTGCTGTATCCTGGAGGAGCAATAAACTCCCTCTATTCTACTGGCTGGTGGAGTCTGTTCGAGCCATTACGGGGGTGCAGGAGTCAGGGAAACCCCGACGCGCTGTCACACTGTGCAACTGATGTTTCACTCTGCTCATCTGAGGAAGTGGGTTGTACCCATGAAAGTTCATGATTCTGTATGTTTTGGGTAGTCTCTAAAGTGCCGCAGGGTTACTTGTTGTTTTTTAAAGTTACAGACTAACACAGCTACACCTCTGAAACTTTTCTAGTGCCTTAGACCGCAGTAGGACACAGGAGCTGGGGGCATGAGCTCTGTCCCTGACTCCAGGAGGGAGTTCACTCATACCAACCCCAAGCCGTAAAGCCGTGTCATCCCACATTACATGTAGTGGGGGGCAGCTGGGAAAGCATTTCCTTGTAGGCTGTTTAAAAACAAAGCCATGGCTCTCTAAAGCTGCTCAGAGCTCAGGACAAAGGAAACAAACAAAACACTCCCCAGAATAGAAGGCCCCTGGAACGATCAAGCGGTGACCCATCACCACCCCCATCACTTTCTTTCGTGCTTCCTCCACTGCCCAGCTGCATTGTCTGTTTCTAGCTATGGCTATGACTCCCAGTTTATAAATATGGGGGAACCTTGACTTAATTCCTTTGGCCGGCCTAGGGGGCGATAGTGAAATCCACACAATCAACTGAGTTGCATCCATTTTCCCGGGTACAAACACACAGGGGCTCAGAGGCCATCTCGCTACCAACAACCGTTACTATACTTCATTCGACAATAAACCTGACTCGGGTGTCTTTGTATCTTATCTGAGTCTGTGGTCTTTAGGGGCTCTTGTGAAGACTATTATGCTAGCTACCTGTGTAGAGCTGGCATGATATACTGAGGGAACATACAAAAACGCATGCAGCCAAATGGTTATCACTGATGGAGCAGAGAGACCTGTCAGGACGCCATGCCAGCGAATCTTAAATTTACTGTATCACTGTCCTGAACTACTACACACCCCAGCCAAAATGAGACCAAAGTATCACATTTCTCAGGCTGTGCCAGATTTATGCACAATAAAGAAAGATAAAAATAGGCTATTTCAACAATTTATTTGTCATAGTATGCATTACTACTGACATGTTATGAAATAACAGAAATACAAATAATAGAATAATGAAACATAATAAAGTTTGCCTACATCTCCTTTGTGAATCTAGCCCCACATTATTTCTGGTACAGCAGATAACTAGGTCAAAATACAACTACTGTGAGGAAATAGACAAGACTTTGCAAAGAACAGTGGATATTTCAGAGCAAGTGAAAACTGCTTCCCAAATGAATGTTTTAGCAAGCAGCGAGACATGAAAGGCATCTCATTCAAAATGTATTATGAAAAACTCAAGAGAACAAACTGCCAAGAGAAAGCAAATGTGCTGATGATACATGGAAGGAATTGCATGCCCAGGGGTTCAGCATTTCTGGTAAGAGACCAGTTCTTATATGTTGGCCTCAGTCTCATTTGAAACTGGTTGTAGTTGCAATTCATTAAAACCTCTGTCATCCAAGAAGGGTCAATATCCAATGACTTCTATGTTTACAGTTATAATTTTAAAAAACCCAAGTACACCAGCAGTCCCATGCATCCCACCTGGACTAAAACAATGATCTAAATATGGAAACCACTCTGGCACTAAATCGTATTAAATTATGGCAAACAGCTAGCTGATAAAAAGAGGACTTTGGTAAGCAAGATTTTTCACCAGCCATAAAAATGTGCTGCATAAGAAAACTACGTGATTCAAAGGTCCGAAAAGATCAAGATGGACTGAAGAACTTGTCCCAAGCACTCCCACTGGCCTTTGTGGTCAATGAATGGATAGTTTGTAACTGTTGTTGGAGGGCTAGATTCATCTGTGTCATGACAAAAGTCAACAGCTAGATAAAAAATAATCGCTGGAGATCTCAATAAAAGTGAGGCTCCTGGGCTCCAACAGAGCTATATATCTGAAGCATCCTTGCTAACCAGACACAAGGCTGTTGTCCTGAGCATGGATCCTGGCTTTCCTCATCTTGGAGAGTGTGGCTAAGGCTCCCCCATTCTGCATTGTTCCACCAAGCGCTGTGAAGCGCTGCAAAGGCACCTCAAAGGAAGCCTTTCCTCCTGCCTCATTTACTCATGCCAGCTTTCTCCTGGTTACTCATCAACCTTCTGGAAAGCACTCTGAAGTCAATGCAAAACAGTGACAGATTGTAGGTCTCAGCTGCTTCTGGGCCCAGCCATTAGGTGTTCCTCGTATCTAGGAGCCTTGGTTTGCTTAGTGCTCACTGTGTTAATGGCTTTAGTTAAGTGGTGAGATCTCATTTAGCCTGTCCTGTCGCCGGAGTAAACACCCTGAGAAAACTCATTTTTCTTTAAAAAAAAAATTACATTGAAAATCTTTAAAACCAGTTTTTAGTTAAAAGCTAAAAGTTAACTTAGTTTTCAAAAGTTATGAAAATGGACTTGCAACAAAACCCATTTGGGTCCTTTGTTCCACATTTAATTGGGTTGTGTTGCCCTGACAAACTGAGGGGGGGGTCACTTCTGCCCCCCTTTCTTCTCTTATCAAGCTCAACTGAGGAAGTAGGTTTTGCCCATGAAATCTCATATCGTGTGTGTGTGTGTGTGTAAGGTTCCACAGGACTACTCATTTTTATAGTTAGACTAACACAGCTCCCTCTGAGACTTTCTTCCCATCTGCTACTCTTTTTACAGCACCCTGGATAGCTCCTTGGAGTAGGATTTAGCAGCTTCAGTGGACACTGATAAGGTTCTTCCAGCCTATAATAAGCCTCAATATAGGCTCGGAAGAATTTGTTTCATCTTAACTATTTCCACCGTCATTTGTCTCCATCAGCACTCAAGTCTCTGCACTTCTCTCTTTTACAGCCCTAGGTACCAGAAAACCAAGGGGATCTGTGTGGGCTTTGGGAAATTTAGGATTGTTTGGAGGCTGACAGTGAGCAAGACCGGTGTAGAATGGTAATTATTCATTTACTGCTTGATCTGTCCTTGCGTGCTGCCGCCCTTTAGCAGGGTTTGAAATTTGGAGAAGTCAATGAGCCTTCCTGGTAGAATGAGGAATGTTGGCCTTTTGTTTCCTTGGGGGCTGACAAGTCTGACTGCCTCAGAACTGAGCACTGGACACCCTGAATGTACTGATGGCCAGGGCAGACATTGGTTGATGGTTGCAAAGCAGTTCCAGACTATTTGAGAAAGAAAGCATGCAAAATGCACATAGCCCTATTCAGTGAAACCGAACAATAGTTTTTCAAAGCATTTGTTGGACTGAAAAGGTTATGTACAATTGTAGCATAGCTTGGATTCTCAAATTAAAAATAGAAATTAGTCTGTTTGGATACAGAGGCAACAAGGGGGAGGCTTATTGGTTAATTGTGTCATTGACTACACGCTGACATCCCTAGTTGTGACATGTTAATTACCACAAGAGGGCACCCATGTTCTGGACAAATGTCTTCATTTGGTGAATCTCTTGGTGATTTGGCAAGGGTGAATATACATTTTGGAAATCATTTTTTGATGGTGTGTGGCTCAATCTCATTCCATGCTTGATGAAACCAGTATATTGCATCCAAGCATAAAATCCTTTTCAAAAGCATTGGAGCCAGTGAAGTTACATGAGATTCTATTTGATGAAGAATACATTGAATTTGTCTTTTCTGAAATTGCCATTGCACAGCTTGAAGGTTTC